CTCGTTTTGGAGTGTTGCCCCTTGGAACTGAGTTACAGGGTAGTGGTTGAAATCTTCCTCTGAAATGGGACCCTCAAATAAAAAGAGCATCACTTCATTAACAGCTACCAGCGCTGCTCTGTAGGCGACCCTGCCAGTCTGCAGTGACAGCAGAGGAGGGTAAAGTTCAGCTCCTCACTGCTGGGCTTTAGTTACATTTAGGGATCATATGCCTTCAAAGAGGGGGGCAATTATTACACACAAACAGCTGCACCATTTAAGGTGGAATGGGGAAAGTTGGCTACAGAGTCTTCAGCACTACTAGTGATTTTTCATGCTTATTATGAAGAAAAGGACCAAAATACACTGAAACGACAACAAACTAAGACAATATGATGGTCATCGTATTCTTAACAGAGAAAATTCTTTGGTCTTTTGTTACTTGGTTTTGCCAACTTACAGTCAGTGTCAACAGACACTACTGAAACAGTCATTACTGAAACAGTCACTACTGAACCAGTCATTACTGAAACAGACACTACTGAAACAGACACTACTGAAACAGACACTCCTGAAAGTCACTACTGAAACAGTCACTACTGAAACAGACACTAGCGAAACAGACACTACTGAAACAGTCACTACCAAAACAGACACTACTGAAACAGACACTAGCAAAACAGACACTACTGAAACAGTCACTACCAAAACAGACACTACTGAAACAGTCACTACTGAAACAGACACTAGCGAAACAGACACTACTGAAACAGTCACTACCAAAACAGTCACTACCAAAACAGTCACTACGGAAACAGACACTAGCGAAACAGACACTACTGAAACAGTCACTACCGAAACAGTCACTACCGAAACAGACACTAGTGAAACAGACACTACTGAAACAGACACTACCAAAACAGTCACTACGGAAACAGACACTAGCGAAACAGACACTACTGAAACAGACAATCCTGAAAGTCACTACTGAAACAGTCACTACTGAAAGTCACTACTGAAACAGACACTACTGAAACAGACACTCCTGAAAGGCACTACTGAAACAGTCACTACTGAAACAGACACTACTGAAACAGACACTACCGAAACAGTCACTACTGAAACAGTCACTACTGAAACAGTCACTCCTGAAAGTCACTACTGAAACAATCACTACTGAAACAGTCACTACTGAAACAGACACTACTGAAACAGTCTCTACTGAAACAGACACTACTGAAACAGACACTCCTGAAAGTCACTACTGAAACCGTCACTACTGAAACAGCCACTAATGAAACAGTCACTACTGAAACAGTCACTACTGAAACAGACACTTCTGAAAGTCACTACCGAAACAGTCACTACTGAAACAGCCACTACTGAAACAGACAATACTGAAACAGAGACTCCTGAAAGTCACTACTGAAACAGTCACTACTGAAAAAGACACTTCCGAAACAGTCACTATTGAAACAGTCACTATAGAAAAAGTCACTACCAAAAAAGTCATTACTGAAACAGTCACTACCGAAACAGACACTACCGAAACAGTCACTAACGAAACAGACACTACCAAAACAGACACTACTGAAACAGTCACTACCGAAACAGACACTACCGAAACAGTCACTAACGAAACAGACACTGTCAAAACAGTCACTACTGAAACAGTCACTACCGAAACAGACACTACCAAAACAGACACTACCGAAACAGACACTACAGAAACAGTCACTACTGAAACAGCCACTACCGAAACAGACACTACTGACACAGTGACAACTGAAACAGTCACTACCGAAACAGACACTACTAAAACAGTCACTACTGAAACAGACACTACTAAAACAGTCACTACTGAAACAGTGACTACTGAAACAGACACTCCTGAAAGTCACTACTGAAACAGTCACTAGTGAAACAGTCACTACTGAAACAGCCACTACTGAAACAGTCACTACTGAAACAGACACTACTGAAACAGACACTCCTGAAAGTCACTACTGAAACAGTCACTACTGAAACAGCCACTGCTGAAACAGACACTACTGAAACAGTCACTACTGAAAAAGACACTTCCGAAACAGTCACTATAGAAAAAGTGACTACCGAAAAGTCATTACTGAAACAGTCACTACCGAAACAGACACTACTGAAAAAATCATTAGTGAAACAGTCACTACCGAAACAGACACTACCGAAACAGACACTACCAAAACAGACACTACCGAAACAGACACTATCAAAACAGTCACTGCTGAAACAGTCACTACCGAAACAGACACTACCGAAACAGACACTACCATAACAGTCACTACCGAAACAGCCACTACCGAAACAGACACTACTGAAACAGTGACAACTGAAACAGTCACTACCGAAACAGACACTACTAAAACAGTCACTACTGAAACAGACACTACTAAAACAGTCACTACTGAAACAGTGACTACTGAAACAGACACTCCTGAAAGTCACTACTGAAACAGTCACTAGTGAAACAGTCACTACTGAAACAGCCACTACTGAAACAGTCACTACTGAAACAGACACTACTGAAACAGACACTCCTGAAAGTCACTACTGAAACAGTCACTACTGAAACAGACACTGCTGAAACAGACACTACTGAAACAGTCACTACTGAAAAAGACACTTCCGAAACAGTCACTATTGAAACAGTCACTATAGAAAAAGTCACTACCGAAAAAGTCATTACCGAAACAGTCACTACCGAAACAGACACTACTGAAAAAGTCATTAGTGAAACAGTCACTACCGAAACAGACACTACCGAAACAGACACTAACGAAACAGACACTACCGAAACAGACACTACCGAAACAGACACTATCAAAACAGTCACTACTGAAACAGTCACTACCGAAACAGACACTACCGAAACAGACACTACCATAACAGTCACTACCGAAACAGCCACTACCGAAACAGACACTACTGAAACAGTGACAACTGAAACAGTCACTACCGAAACAGACACTACTAAAACAGTCACTACTGAAACAGACACTACTAAAACAGTCACTACTGAAACAGTGACTACTGAAACAGACACTCCTGAAAGTCACTACTGAAACAGTCACTACTGAAACAGACACTAATGAAACAGACACTACCGAAACAGTCACTGTTGAAACAGTCACTATAGAAACAGTCACTACTGAAACAG